ATATATATATATATAAGGAGAGAGTTGGAGTAACATCTGACTAAAATGTTAGTCATTTATTCTCACACAGCTTCACCATCCATTACAATTTTAAAATACAAAAATTTGAAGTAGTTTAAAATCATTAATAAAGAAAATAGTAACTTAAATATATCGTTAAGTACTTTAAATCATAACAATTCAAAATTTTAAATGAATAGTGAACGATGTGACTATATTTGGCATTATCATTTTAAATGAATAATGTTGTAACTCTCTAATGAGAGGGACAGAAAGACAAGAATGACTATTCCACTTCTTCTTTTTTTTTACCACTTCATAAAATATTCAAAAGTCAAAATTGCACTTATGATTGTGAACTATTATATAAGAATTATAAGTAGACTGAATTCGACGAATTTTTAGGATGATTTAACCTTTCCTTAAGAATGTTAAAAAAAAAAGGACGATCAGGTGTCATACAAAGTTCTTTCAACACTTGTTGTTACACATGTATTTCACCGATCAAAATTATATAATATATGCATGATATCGCCAATAAACTATGCATTTAATTTCAAGTCTTTTCAAAGTCTCTATAAATGAAAATCACAACTATTTTCTCCTGCAATCAGAGCCATCACATGCCAATTAGATAGAGTTAACCATTAATATCAAATGCCAAATATAAGAATTTTTTTTCAACAATTATTGGCTACTGAACCCTCTCGAGGTCTTGGAGCTAATGGGAACAACCATATGTTGAAGCACATGGAGTCATGGAAGAGGAAACACATATATATATAACTTGATCGAAGTGAAATTTGATCACACCAAACTCGTTAGGTTGGACTGGCGTGGAGCAATCTGGCCTAATTTATGCAGTATTTTAATATCATACATCACTTGCAAGACTAGGGAAGAAAGATGTCTTAACTTAGACTGGTTTGGATTTTGCCTAAGCCATAATTGGATGTGGATTGTTATTAAAGAGATGATGTAGACAGTGTTAAAGTTAATATATGAAAAATATCAAAACAAATTAAAAAAAATGTTAAACCAACATAAATACAATTTTAATTTATCACGTTTTTTTTCCTTTTTGCCTGTGTGTACATCACATCTCTGGCCTAATGTTCCCGTTTTGCCTGTGTGTACATCACATCTCTGGCCTAATGCCTGTTTGAGGCATACGTGGTTGTTTCAAGAAGCTGTTGTAAAGTTGTTGTACAAGATATTGCTTTTCAAAAAACTACGATGACTTTTATAAATTTAATTTACTTTCAAAGAGTCAGACCGCAACTTTCTGATGGTCAGCGCACTTTACCAGCCCGCGTTAAAAAAAAATTTCTACTTCAAAAATTTTTAAAAAGCAGCAGACAGAAAGCAGTTCCACAAACAAAACCGTGTTAATGGTCTGAAAAGTAAAGTGAACAGAAAGCTGTCCCAAACAGGCCATTAAAAAAGCTGTAATCCAATGGGAAAAAATTGAATAGATAAAATATTTCAAAATTATCAATTATCTCTTAATTGATTATCACGATAATACATAAAAATTCAAAATGATAATAAGCATATCTATAATATTAATATATTACAATAATTATATCAAGTAATTATATAAAAATTACATTAAAAAGATTACAAAATAAATAATAAAATAATTTAATTATAATCTAATAAAAAAACAATATTATTTCTCATAATTTTGTTTATGTTATAAACTATTAGATAAAAAATTATAGCTAAGAGACATTTGGAGTTAATTTTATTTATCTGTTTTGTATAGTGTAAAAAATTGCATATAAGAGCTACTATTATTTTAACAAATATGTGATTTTATTTATATTTACATTTAATTTATTTTATAGTAAAATTATGTTGCATAAGCCATTTTAACCGGGTCTATATTGCTTTCATTAAATAAAAAATTTTACATTATAAATTTTTTAAGATAACATGATTGTTTCCATGAATTCATTTGTCATTTTTCCTATGTATATGCACGATTATCTGTTAATAAAATTTATGATACGCTTACCTGCCAATATCCCTTGCGACTCACAGGTACATATACGTGATCACCAATAAAATGTTTTGGATCAACACCACCAAAGATGAGCTCACCCCCAATTGCATCATCTGGATTTCTATTAAGCCAGAATGAGAAAATATTTTTCTCCAATAAACCCTGCTCAGCCATAGTCTCCCTGCAAATAAAGAAATAATAAGCCATGACTTCTATCACTACCAGAACCAAAATTGACAGATAATATTTGCATAACAAAGTGCACAATACACATATCTTTCTCCTGCAAAAACTGGAGTATGAAAGTATAACAAGAAATGAAAAAAGAAATATACCAAACTGGTGGATAACCCCCCACCGAAATCTCTTTGAAACCAAGCCCAAGTATCCCATCAAATTTTGCCAGTAAGAATGTCAGGCTTGCTTCTCGAATTACCTCAATGAAAACCTGAAACATAGCATGTCTTGTCATTGAAGCACAACATTGTATTAAAGATTTAAAATTCAGAAGCACACAACATGAAATCCATAAATGAAAACTCACTTGATCCTTCACCACAAGGTCTCCAACTTGCAAATGATCCTGACTGAAGAAACCAGAGACAGAACCAGACCCATAGGTTATTTTGCATGATTTTCCTGCACAGCAGGCAAAGATATTGATGCCACATAGGGATTTCAAAGCAACTTTGATAGAAATTTTGAAGTTTGATTTACATGCGCTAACATATAAACAATAGTCTGACAAACTAGACAAAATTCTTAAGAAAAAGATAATTCTAGCAAAAAGAAGGAAGCCTTATTCACATTCTAGGTTATTGCCAAAATGAAAACAATCTAGCAAGCTTGGAAGTTTTTATTGTCTATATGCTTTCTCTAGTGAAATATAATTCACATTTAACTTACATGAAGCCAAACTTCCACAGAATCAGATGCACATTCAAGGAATGAGTTCTAGAGTTATACCATTTTTTACGTATGAGCTTGATGATTTTGAGCGGTACCGAGAGTGGAAATAACAAGGAATCTGCAGAAATTGCAGTTATTAGAAGCAATTTCCATTCATCCCATTCGAACCAGGGTTAAAAACATCAGGGAAATTGCCTAATCATAAAATAACTTACAGAGAAGTAGCATTTAGATGAAGGAACCCACAGGTTGGAACTCCCCGTATCAAATATGACAGTGAAATTCTGTGGAGGTGTCCCTAAGCCTATTACACCGAAGTACTGAGCATCCAAATAGTTCTTCAAGGACACAATATCAGCCTCAGGATCATCCATGGAAAGAAGAAGATGCTGATTTTGGAGATATAAATCCTCTTTCCTGACAAACTTTGCTGCATTTCGCCTATCAATGTCAAACTGCTTCTTCCTTAGGCCAACCCTAAGTAAGCCATTAGATGAAGCATGGATGAACAAAAGGTTTGACAAAATCCACAACCAGATGCTTATCAAAAGGAGTTTCTGCCTCATTATACCAAAACTATCTGCAGAGAATAAGTAAAGATGCTAATTAAGCTTTCTAATGAATATGAAAAATAACAAGTAAGATTAAATTTGAATTGGAGACTTCTTCATGAGCATTTAAGATCCTAAACTGGCAAATGAACATTTCAAAAGCTTGCTTATACAGCTAAGGGACTCAAACCTAAGAACTAATTCAAATTATTTTTCATGGAAAATGAAATCATAGGAGAGACAAGAAGACAGAGAAGACAAACCTCACACTGATATCATTCCAAATGTGAATAAAAATGAATGTTCTGTTCAACTTATGTAGCTTCAATTACAGCAACTAAAGTTTACAACTTGCATACTAAGCTACCGCTGACATGTAAATGAAGTCAACCTATAACCGCATGAATGGATTTAAGGATGGCAAGCAAATAAAAATTTGGGCCATATAAAATTAAAAAATATCCAAAAAGGATCACCAAAAACACATCATATGCAACCATGCAACACAGTCTATGTTCTTTTTTTTTCCTTCTTACGGTGGCAATATCTGTTATAATACTGAAATACATAACCAGTTTACTCGCGTCAGTAGTGTCATCTTCAAGAATAATTATATCAGAGTAACAAAAATCAAGCAAAAAAAAAAAAATCAGGACAGATTAATAAGAACACTCACTAAAACAATGATCATACGATATGGCAAGACAGGAACTATATCTTAAAAAGACCATATAATGCAAAAATCCAACCAGGCATGACTGCGTTGGAAATCAAAAGTATCCTAAATTCATTTTAACCTAAATAGCACTCTGTTTAACGACTTATAACAAGCTCAGTTTAATTCTAGCCAACCCAGAATTTCAAAGCTCAAATAGCATACCGGATACGTTAAGAACTCAGAACTAATTCAAACACAGGCTGTGAAAACAATCGCACCAGTTTAAATGATTTTACAGCAACAGACAAAGTGAAAGGTTTTACATGTAAAAAAGTTGAAGATTTACTAGTTGGGCTTGTAAATTGGAAAGCTATACCATACCACTGCAAGCTTCCGAACAATTAGGGAAACAAAATGAAGCGAAAAAGGATCGCGAAAAATAGCAGATACCCTACAATAGCTTTGAGGTCCGTACCTGCGCGGCGCACTTGCGGAAAGACTGAGAAAGGAATCGAGTACGACGAACGCGGTGACAATAAATTGTTCCTGGTGCTTTGACAAAGCTGCCACTTTCAGAATTCAAAAGATAAACTATTAAATAATGGAGAATTTACGTACCTGCCACTTAATTTATGTTTTTTCATTTTTGAAATCCATACTTTAATTTTTATATTCATGCCATATAAAAATGATGGTATTTTTTATGATATGAAAGATTCAGCGTATAAATAAAAAAATGAATAAATTTGAAAATAGATAGAAATAAGGTGGTCTGTACGTAAATGCCTGAAAAATAAATAATTCAATAATTCAATAAAAGATTTTGCTGGGAAAAAAATAATGAAAAAATGAGGCTCATTGAATAGCATGAAGATAGAAATTATAATTTTAAAATAATCTATGATGTTTAGTTTGTTCATTAATTACCCAGAATTAATACTACTTTAAAATATTTGAAATATTTCCTTATCTCGCAAAAATAGAAAGTTTGTTCTTGCATTTAAATAAATAAAAGTTTAAATTATATATATATATATATATCTGTGTGTGTGTGATAATATATATATATATATTAAAGAAATGGAATAAGCCCTTTTATTTTTCTTTTTTTAAGAAAAATTGGGTGGGAATACACTCACGGAAGTTTGAACTTAGGCTCTGTTTGGCGCAGCTGTGGATTATTTATAATCCGCTGATAAGCAAATTATTATGATAATCTGATAATCTGCAGATTATCAGAATAATCTAGTTTGTTATTTGGGGCAGCTTATTCAGACTAACTTATTGGTAATTAAATGACATTTTTGCCCCTGTCTAATAAAACTGTTTGGGGCAACTTATTCAGAATAGCTTATTGGTAGAAAAGAAACATATAATACAGAAACATATGATAATGACAGGGATGTTATAAAAGATATCATACAGTTATCACATCCTAACGAGTATCAGGAGATAATTGCATTATTCAGAATATTATCAAATGCAAGCTCGAATTTTTAATAGCACGTCTTTTTTTTCCCGGGGAGTCAGAGCAAATAAAAAATACTAAAATCAGACTAAATATATCAACTATCAAACATATTTCATTAAAAAACTAAAGTTTATAAATGATAGCTTGAACACACAAAATCTGGAAGGGTAAGTCTAACCCACTATCATAAAAAGACTTTGCAAGCTAATTCATGGCAGGTCGGCCCAAACTCATAAGCTTGTGAACTAGTTCATGAGTTGATTTGAGTCATATTAATTCATGGTGTCAATTATTGCTAGTGTTTTGAAAATTAGGTGAACACGATGGTACTTCATTTTGACTCAAACCCACCATTGCCCGTAGCCGAGGCAAGATTAAGGGCTCATTCAATACAACGTAGATACTATCTACAATGCGGGATAACCAAACATTGACCCCAAAATAAATTGCCCAAAGGCGTGACTATGAATTTTATCTTATAACTAGCTTTTACTATTTGGGTTCCATTAATAAAAATATGAGTCTAACCTCACTCCCTAGTTCTACTATTTGCTTTCCCTTTCATTATGCTTTGATCTAAAGTGTTTTATTTTGGTCGGGTATCTACTAGATCTATCATTCTTTTTTTTTGTATGGTGAGCGTGAGCACACCACAAACAAGGAGAGTGGTATTTTAAGACATTAAACATAACAATAAAGAACCTTCAGTGAAACATGAACACCGCCAAAGAATTCATCCCTCAATAAGTAGAAATAATTGAAAACAAAATGGCAAGGATGATCCAAGAAGCAATAAAGCACCTCCCTCTAGTAGCCACTTGAGTAGAGTTTTGATCATTCGACTTTGCACTGAGAATAAGGCGGCTTGAACTCCTTACAGTGCCACCTTCTACCCCAGCAGGGGTAGATGATGATGATGAGACTTACTATCTAGGTAACGATGCCTCAACATTATACTAGAGCAGAAGACAACAAACTCAAATAAAAAGAAAAGTCTAACTAGAGAGTGCCCTTTTTTTAGAAATTATGGAAGTGAGCCTCACATAAAGTTTATGATTGTCGTTAAAATTTGACAAGGAGAAAATGTATCTCTTGGATCACATCACATTGTTTAAAATAGTAATCCCTCTTTTACATATCATCGAACCCCCCTAAAATATTATGTATTCATTATGAAACTAAGTCGCCTCCTCTTTAAATTCAAATTGACTCTTCTAACTTAGTTCAAAAAAGTTCATAAGCTGCTAAAAAACATGTATGGCTACTAAGGATAATGCAAGAGCCCTGTAAGTCTAAGAGGAATTCCACCACTTACTTCTTGCAAGCCATGCTGGAAGTCAAGGATGTCAAGCCAATTGTTGTTGATGTTGTTTTAGCTTGGAGTCTTTGAGAAGGCTCCTTCAGCTATGTTTTTGGTCTTTAGCACCTGAGAGAGCTCATCAATGCTCATGTTATCAAAAACCACAATGACACTGCTTTTCCTGCCATGCAAATAAAAAGATGATGGAACTAAAGAGTATAGCTTATAGGTTTGATAATCTCTTTTTTTTTTAATGATAAACATATTTGGTTGTGTTTGTAATCATAATTTTTTTCTTATATTAAAAATATAGCTCTCCTTAAATTTGTTTTTTAAAAAATATTAAAATTTTTTAGAAACAAATATCTGTTGTGCTAAAACTCTTTATTTTTTATTTTTGAATTTTAATTAAAAATGGAATGCAAGATTACAGACAGTTGCATATCAACTAGAACCAAGATAAAAAGGTTAATATAGAAAGCAAACTGAATGATTATAACTAACATTAATAAAAATATACCATATACAACAATTAACTAGCCATACACCTCTTCAATCCACGCCCTCCTCTTCTATTGGTTCACCTCATCCACATGCCTACCATCCTATTCTCTCTCCTCCATCTCACTTTAATCCAAGCCATCAATCCACTTCGTTAACTCCCCTCTTTGATCCTATCCATACTCCTCATCATAACTCACTTTCCCCCCAAAACCCCCAACTACCCACTCCCCCATGACATTAGTCATGACCCCAACTCCCCCAAGACTCCCCTCATTCCAAGTTTTGAAATTTGCTTCTCTCCTTTCTCCTCTCAAGCCAATGGAAATCTTTTTTCTTCTTTCTCCTTCCAAAACTAAAAACACCTCCTTTCTTTCTTCTTCAACCCATGAATAAGAAGAAAGGGATCGAGGAAAGGAGAAAAGCAAGAAATTCAAGGAAGAACTTCAATTTCAAAAGGAAGGTATAACTTTTAATCCACTTGCAAATTCACTTTTCCACCATCAAATTTCAAAATTCTCCATGTGTCTTTCAATGATATGTGTTAATTTTAAAAATTCAACTTCCAATTTTTAAATCCTTAATGTATTTTATAACGTTAAGTGTTAATAATGAAAATCCACCACCAAATTTTCAAACCTTTCATGTATCACCCAACATCACTTGTAAATTTTTAATTTCATCATTCAATTTTTAAATTCTTTATGTTTTCATCATGTTATATGTCAATTTTGGAAATCCCCATCATATTTTAGCCTTTGCATATGAAAACATAGGGCTTTTGCTCTCTTTAAGTTTTATGTCACTTTTATTACACTTTGCATTTTATAAACATAGGGCTTTTGTTCTCTTTATGTTCCATGGCATTCCTATCCCATTTTGCATGTTAGAAACATAGGAATTTTATTATATATGAAACTTTTGTGTTTATGTTAATATATTTGATATAAATAGCATGCCCCCTCCATCTTGTCATGGGGTGACAGACTAAAATCCCCAATTTAATCCCGATGTTTGGAAACTAAAGAGAGATGTTGGCCCTCTTGTGAAGGAAAGTGAGAATTCTAGAGTGAGAGCTAGTATTTTCCCAGCCTAACCACGCTTTTAGGGACGCTTTTAGGGACCAAACTCACCAAACTCTGGATTAGTCAATGTTCTTTATGCACTTGACAGAGGGTAAAGAATATAATTGCTCATATTTGTCATTGGCATCATTATATTTTAAGGATTGCATTCCTACATATTATCTAGGTCACTGAATGAGAAGGGTAGTCTATATCATCTCAAAATTCTTCAAACCAATTTACCCAGATATCTTATCTTTAGAATTAATAATTGCATTTAGGAATATTTATTATTGTAACATTTAATATTTATATTTAGGAGTATTTGTAGGTTGTTTTAAACTTAAGATTTACATTTAAGAGTACTTGTTAAAACCACTTAAACGACATTCTAAACTAAGATCTGATAGTAACAGACTAGAATTAGCCTAAGAGATTTCTTACCTTGCTTCTCTGTAGGATCGATATTATGGTTTTTAAAGAAAGTTCTATATTACTTGAAATGATATGTATACTTGCATAGTCCCTAGTGTGTAAATTATTTTCCAAATTTTATAACATTTCAATTTTCCGCACTAGCCGCTAAATATAAATTGGGTAAAGCTTTTGGTCATCTTTTGGAAGCTAAATTATTGCATAATTGAGGGTCGGGTCAGGCGCTAGGCTCACAATAAAGGGGCACTGATGCACCAAAAATATATACATTTTTAGACTTATATTTTATTCTCATTTTTAGTGATATTGCGCTTTAAATAAAGGTATTTTTTATGTTTTGTTACAGGTTAATTATTTTTATGACTTGAAGCAAAAAGAATGAAATTTGAAGTCAAAATGGCATTTTTGAAGAAATACGCAGTGCCAATGACATGGGGATAAATGCGCTAGACTGGGCGCCAACAACACAATTTGATAGAGAGCACAGAATTAAATTCAGGCCACAGATGTCGGCGACGCCATCATGGGCACCGACGGCGTCATCGTGAGCGCCTATGGCGCCAAAGTCATTGTTGGGTGAAATTCTAGAAGATTCGATGAATTTGGACATTTTTAAAGAGTTATTGGAGGCACCTATTAGAAAACTGACATTATGCATTATTTTCAGTGAAAATTGCTTAGAAAAGATGGTAGTTAGAAGGGGCTAGAGGGTAATTAAGTTTACTCGGGTGTTCTATTATTTAGAGCGGTGAGTCTAAGTGTGATTTTCTCCTAAGAGTTGTTAAGAGAGGGAG